GGGTAAAAACAATTTGACGAACGAAACTTGGACAAAATATGTATAAAAATATTGTTCGAAAACATAAATTATATATAAGTAAAAAAAAAGATGGTAACAAGATGTCGTTCATCGCCAAACTTACCATACCCACTATTTTCTATTCGCTTAACACGATCAGACAAAATGACATTGTCCTTTTGAATTTGGAAATCGTCAATCTCTGCAGATTTCAAAATGGTTACGTTGTTTACCAAAAATGTTTACTTATTTAAAGGTAGATAAGTAATATTAACGTAGGTAAATTACTAAGCTTTCCTTAACACAGGAAAACATATTTTTTAAAGTGAGTGGTATGTCATGTATATAACAATGTATTCCTGTTGAAATTCCTACTTGCTTTTTCCTTATTGGAATTAACAGCGAACCAAGACATCCCTAAATCATCTAGGGTTATCTTTGATTTATAATATTTCAAACCAAAATAGTTTTTGTTAGGCTAAGGCTAATTAATTTTGTTTTAACAACATGGGATTCTTTTTCCAAAAGTAGTCATTTGTTTATTGATTAGTGTTACATTTTTATCGCATTTCAAATCATAAAATTCGTTTAAATTTTTTCATGCAAAACGGTAATTTCATAGGTGAAGACCTATTATTATTACTACTGCTATGTCCCTGACTTTAAATCATCACTCTTCATAATATTAGTATAGAAGGATAGATAAAGAATTAAATTATATAAATAGTGAGACATCAAGTGCCCACTGCTGAGCAAAGGCCCCTTCTCACACGAAAAGCTTTAAGCATTAATCTTCACGCTTGCTCAAGGCGGATTGGCGATTTCAAACTTATAATTAGATATTATAAGTCCAGGTTTCGTTACGATGTTCCCTTTCACCGTATGTCAGTGGTATCTAAATAATCGTAGAATTTAATACATTACGTATTAATGTATAATGTAATGAATAAAAAATGGTTCCCTTGTGGTAGGATTTAAGGCATATTTTTTTATTACTTAACCCTCAGCATCTTTATGAAATTACTTGTTACATAATACTTTTATCCCAGCTAGGAAAAAGTGAGAGTTGTTATAATTATATCATTATACACACCTGCCTACCCTTCTGAGGATTAAAACGATTGACGTCATAGTAACAACAATCTGATTGACCAAAAGGCAGTTTAGAATGTTGCTTTCTCGCTTCATTGAAATAAATGTGACAAGGACAGGTATGTTTATAGGCAGTCTCTAAATGCCAAGTGTTCTGTTTTTTTATGAATAAGGAGTTTAATGAGAACTTGATACTTGATTATTGAGTTGAAGTATGTATTATATAAATATTAATGTTATTGATTTAAAGGGCGACTTTAAACAGTAATATCTTCAGTTCTACTTAAAATGTGTGCAAAACCCGTGTAAGTGATATTAAAATTATGTGTGCAACATTCTTTTTCGAAACAGGAAAAGAAACGGATTGGTTTTTTGTCAGAAAGAGTATGACACTACCTCTCGCGTCACCCAGGGGAAAAGAAGTCATTTTATTATTCGCCCACCTCAAATTTTCTGAATATAATTAGTATGACCACTTATAGTTTTTAAATACAAAGCATAATAGCATAGACTAAGTATTCAGCTGTCTACGAGCTTGGGTCTGTCGGGAGGCCCTAGTATACTGTCAATAAAATTAAAATTATTAGATAAGGATTTTTAAATTATATATGAAACGAATGGTATGAAACTTTAATACTTCTTAAAAAACACAAAAATATACCCTTTCTTTAGTCAGATTTAAACTTCCTTCTTCTTCGTACCTATCTAAATATAGTTTAAATTATTTTAAATGAAGCCCCTAGAATTGCATTGCCTCTGACTGGGTTAATCCTGCCTTGTTCTAAATTTGAAATCTATTTTCAAACGAAGGAGGAATGGACGTTTTACCATTGATAATAAAGTACCTACAAAATACAAAATATATGTAAATGAATAAACTCCCAAAAAAATGTAAAGAAATATTTCTAGAAAAAACAAAATAACATATTTTATTCAACGAATTTAAAATAACCAGCTGTTATTTCTATATGAATTAATTTACAGTAGCTATTTTTATTAATGAAATAATAATATCATTAGCGATGGCGATTATGCTAAAATATGACAAGTTTTTTTTTATTTTATCTTCTCAATGAACTGTAATCGCTCTATATACATTTTATAAACTGTATACACATACCAGCATTATGTTGGTTGTTGGTATATTCTTGCCTGTACTTTTTCTGTTTGCTTAACTTAAACTGAAAGCAATAAATTATACTACTTGGTATTAAAACAAAATTTTTCAAACCTTTCGATGTCACTTAAATTTTATTTCCAATGACTTCTTGGATGAGGTTGTCAGACTCTTACTGACTAAAATCCATTCCGTTCCATCTCCTGCTTTAAGCCACTGTGGTACGTCATTGCGCTTTACCCGCAACTTCGGCCTTGAAAACCACTATACCTAACGAACCAATCTACCTCCTTCATATTATAACGGACAAAAACCACATCGATATATTTTAAAATAAATAACATAATATCAAGGTTTTACAAATAGGTCTGAGTGCAATAACAACAATCTAAGTAGGTATTTGTTTTTGCAAAACACGTTTTTTATTGTTCAATACAATTTTATTTATTGTTTTGATCCTATATTGTAATATTGGACGAGATATTGGTACCATACGTGTACGTGTATCTTTTTTTTATCTTAGGTACTTCATTCCGACAGCCGTTATGAAAAAAGGCACTTCAGGCACTTTTGAACGTCAGTAAAAAATTACATTTCGGTCAGTCCTCTTATGCCCGGTTCCTATAATTGAGAAACGATCCGTTTTAGTTACGAATAGTAGTTTTATATACGACTCGTAAGCTAAAACCGTTCCTATAACAAACGTCTCGTCGTGCAACTTACTGACGGTTTGCAACTAACGGATGTCGGTAAGCGAATTGTATGGAGATCTATGGTGTCTGTGGTGTTCCTATAAATATTTTAACCGTCAGTAGACGGTCAAGATAACTATTCGTAATGTCATTTGGTCGTAGTGCGTATACAACGACGATTCGTTAAATATAGGAACCGGGCATTAGTCAAGCTGTTTGCTCGATCCAACGTATGGATCCAATGGAGAAGAACGAGCAAGAAACTCCATGGTTACTCCTTTTCAATCTGTTTTACAAACCGATTCTTTGTAACATTATTAAGTTGGTTACATACGACCTTCAAACTTTCAAGAAAAGAGACTCCTATGATGATGTCCAGTTTAAGGCAATCAATAGCTTAACATCAGGTAATCCGTCAGTTCATTTAGCTTTTATCCCGTAACCAACAAAAATATTGGCTTTTTTTATGACCCAATACTGTAGGTGTTTTAAGACAACCATTTATCGTTATAAATATTAGTTAATATAAAAAAAAAATATAATTCAACAAGATTTTATTTTTTTATGAAATTATATTGTTGGTAATGTTATTTCTTTATTTTAATAATATTAAGGTATATTATAAGCTAAGCTTTAAAAGCCGTTGTAAAGATTTGACTGTGGGGTCAACGAGACTCTAAACAATACAAAACAATTAAATGAAATTACAAGTAAATTGTCTATAGATAATTTAAGTATCAGGTTTACTACAAAGACGGTGTCAAAAGTTTAACATAACTTGTATTATTTTAAAGTTTACTACAAAAAAGTTTGATATAAAATGTAAATATTATTTTTGTTGACTACCTTCTTTTTATGCCAGGCAAATGAACTTAAAAATAAATAATCAAAAATAAATGAATAAAAAAAATAACACGAGATATAAGTTGCATAACAGAACAGGATCGGTAATATTTTGTTGTATTACTATCTGAAAGTAAACACGACATGTGACATGCCTACCGGCTCAGTGTTATTAATACTTTACACTTAACCCTCCACTGACAGTATTGGGTCGAAAATACCTTGTTGTGATTATTTTTAATAACATGATAAAGTTCAAGTTTTTTTTAATCAATTTACGTATAGGCAGTTCGTAATATCAAAATACAGATTTTATTTGTCTGTCAGTAAACCCGTGTACTATATAGAATCTGAGGAGACCTGTGATATTTTTGCAAAAATACACGTTTCGAAAGTATCGGTAGTGAAATCCATCTTTTTGAATCCTTTGTTAACTCATTGTCACTATTTATAATGTATAATATAATCACTATTTAAAAATAGTCACTCACAGTTTCGATGTTTTTAGCTAATTATAAAAAAATGAATGTACCTACTACTTATTGCAAAATATGATGACGTCATAAACTGCGAATTCAAAAAAAGAATAGATAATTCTAGTTATTTCTTCTGAATAAAGTATTAAATTTGACTGGTTAAAAACTACCGTATCATATGTATATTTATATTGGATAATATTTACAAATCGAAATCTTAATAACATAATCTAATCTAACCTGTAACACATGGATAATAATTATGGACGGCACCTTGACATACTAATTATGACTTTGGAAAAATGTTGTATACTTAATTATAACTACTAAATTATTTACAAAAACACAATGTTGTGAATTAATAAATGTGAACCTCTCGATTTTACTAGAAAAACTAGATATTTATTTATTTATTATTATTGGTGTATGATGAATAAAAAAAAAATTTTGCCTCGGCTTGACATACCTGAATTTATTCAATTTCAATATAACTTTGAAAAATATTATTATCGATAAGATGTGCAGTAAAATATACTTAGCATATTTCCAAATAAAAAATAAATATAAACATCATTTTTTTTACACAAATTTATATTTTAAGAAAAAAAAAACAAAATTATATACAAAAAAATATATAAAACAAAAATGTAATAAAAATAAAATTACAATTAAAATAAACCACACGGGCCGAAAAGACCAACACAACTACGCAGTGTTAAAGTACTTAGCATCGTGGTGGCTATTAATACAAATGCGACCTACTCAGACCGACTGTTTGCATTCGATTCTTACCGAGAGTGCACGCACGATCGATATAGATCGCTCAACGTATTCGTTTTCGAATCATTCGTTTAAAAAACGGGGTAGTTTGTAACAGTGGCGCATTGTAGGGTTGGGACTTATAAGATAGTGTGAGACTCAGTGGCTTGTTTCAGTGGTTGTTCATTAATTCTGTGAGGACGTCCCTAGTTAGAGTGTGAGTATTTAATTTGTGTTTTTTTTCGTTTTTTTTTTGTTATATTTTTTTTGCCATACTTGCATACACTAGATAACTTTATTGTAAAATAGTAGTATTATTCATACTAAAATAGTTGTGTCATCAATGTTATTTAATATATCAATAGGATCATTTGATATTATGATGTATTGCTACTTTGTTCAGGTACCTACCTTCGTTACGATATTTTTCTATCAGCTTGCATTACCTATACCATGGAGTATTTTACTCCGTGAACTATACTTAGTAATACATTTGTGTTTCAAATTTGAATGAAAGTGAGGTCATTGACTTTTGCCTTTCAGCTTACCTATTGTCATATAAAAAACTTACTGACTTCGATAGTAAAATTTATTGAATTCTCGCCTATATTCACTCGATATAAAATTGACAATCCAATAAAGGTTTTACACAAAATATTTTCATAGAAGATAGGTAAACTTGTTTGTGCAATGCTGTTGCTATTTTTAGATTAAATAAACTAGACAAAACAAACAAATTGACGATAAAATGCTGTTAAACTTGTTACGGTAGCGCTTGAATGTAGATAGATATTGTGTGTACTGTAGACATTGAAATTGTTCAAGTCTTAAAAAAACACATTTAGATGTCATTACATCTGGAGAATAAAGTCAAAGTGTGTTAATAAAATGTAACACTTTCCCTATGCACATACAAATATTAATATAACTTATCTCTATACAAAGTTTCATCCAAATCGTTCAATCCGTTTTCGAGGTATGCAAAAAAACCTTTGCAAAAATTCCATTCAATAAGAACGGTTTTTGTTATCTACATACGAATACAAATAACATATGAAATTTATTCATGAATTTAATTTTATCAATTCATTATATGAATAATAATACCTATCAATAAATTGAAATCTCAAATGTGAGCAAAAAAATTGTTATTTGCTCGCAAAATAAAATTATTTGTATAATGTAACGAGACACGTAAACCGGTTAGATAAGATAATATTATGTGATCTTATTTCGTTTTACTTTGATTGTTTGGACGTTTTGATCTCAGATTTTAATAAATCTCGTTTCTTCGACGTGTATAAATGTACTGAATTGCTATAAATTACATCAAATAGATACGTAGCTAGTTATAGGAAACTGAATTATATTTATTCTTTGTTGGTTTATAGAAAAATGAACCTTATTCTAATTAAATAGGCTTATTAAAATGTCTAATTTGAATTGTCAGACAGTCCCTTCTGCCAGTGAAACTATAGGTCCTTATATTTGGTTATTGAAAACGTGCAATTTTTTTTCGAGACGTCATGAATGTGGAATTCTTCACACGTAAGACATTTGTAAATGGCTTCTGTATATAAATGAAAAAAAAACTTATTTTTCTAAGCTATCTTAATTCATTACGAACATCTGTATAACTGTCGTGGGTACTTGCGGATAAATAGTGCATAAGTGATTAAAAAAATACATGCTAAATTTTTTGCCACGTCATTATGATTCAAACAATTTTTATTAATGAGAAATCATAAAAGTGAAACTACCGTCTGCAGTAAAAAAGTGCAGCAAAAAATACTATACTAGACGCGATATTAAAGCCTTGAACTTCAAGCCTAGTTACCGCGTTAGTGATTGTATAATGGCTAGCGATAAAATATGTTGATTCAATTTGCATTGAAACATTAAACATAATTATACATTACAGTAATAATAATCAGTACTCCTAATCATATTATTTGATTGTTTATTGCTTAAGTAGCCAGTCAGTGCGGGTAGTGATAACTGCCTTTGTTTTCTCAATCGGGTTTAATTTTGTTTTTATATTATACTAGCGGCCCGCTTCCGCTTCGGATGGGTCCAACTATCTCGCTATCAAAGGGTCACTTTTTCCTAATCTTTCCTCTACTTTTCTAATATTTTCTTTGATAAGACCCTTCTCCTGGCAATAACAAAAACAACAAAAAAAGAATTAGCAAAATTGGTAAAGGCGTTGTTGAGTTATGCGCTTACCAACACATTTTGCGATCCATTTTTATATATAAAGAAGATTAGCTTACGCCGCCGGTTTCGCCCGCGTGGTCGATAAAAAGTATATAGCCTATTTGTTATTTAGGCGTATCACCTATCTACCAAATTTCAATTAATTCGGTCCATGAGTTGTTGCGTGAAAGAGTAACAAACATGCATCCATACATTCTTAAAAATCTTCACATTTATTATGATAAAGATTTTTGTCCCAATTATGCCAGGCCAAAGTAGAAATTGCCAAAAATATAATTTAATATAATAAAATATCTCAATTAGATATAAGCCAGATATCTATCAACTACAAATTATTATAATCGAGTGCTAATAATTGAGTGTTTACACAATAATAATAATCTTAGTACTAATTGGAATTGCTTACAACACTGATACCTAAGATATATGGATGGGTTGTTTCCATTAAGAAAATAAACACTGATAATTTCTGGGGTATTGCAACACTCTTTTGTTTTGTTTATAATTTTACTTATGATAGCAATGGATTCATCGTCACTCGATAAGTACGAGTATATAGATCACAGTCAACTAAGATTTTTGTCAGGAGAAATTCGTCAAATTAATCCGCCCGGAGAGAATAGCTCTTACTGGCTAAAAACTTCCCCGTTTCGTCTCCTACTCTAGGCCGAGGCTACAGTATCCTATCGCGCTTACCCCACAACCCTGGCTGAACATCAGCCCTATAATAGGGCTCTGTCTGTGATGGTCTACAGACTCTTTGAGGCGCGCGCGGAACGCTCGGGTCTGGTACTGATCGGGTGCCGAGTTACCCTTACTTAAGAAGATCATAATATGATCTAGGCTAGGTCATTCATTGAATCGAGATACTATCTCGATCTTAGCCTGTTATATAAATTGTATCACTGTACAATTTTGGTAGGTCTTTACTTGTGATAGCGATTCGATATGAATTGAAATAACGACTTATTACTCACGTGAATTAGTTGAGAAAAACTCTGTAAGTTTCTGTCGACTACGGGCCTTCTATTCATGAGCAGCGCTCACGCACGTCTTCATTGTAGTTAAGGCACGTAAGTAATTCGGAAATTCATTTCAATAAATTTAGTAGGTTAGTCTCGAGATTCGATATAATTATGTACAAGTCCGATTGTCATCGCTAACTTTCGACAATATTGGTCTAATACAACGTCTTCGTGGTTTCGCTGTGTAAGGTTACCGGTGGTTCGGTACATTAACCCCGTATGTGTAATCTCAAATCCCTCACCAATTGTAATTACTCGTAGCCGCGGGTATTCATGGGCAGTTCTGATTGCTTACCATAAGTTATAAAACGGCTTGCCAATGAAATAGATGTTGCCAAACAAGAAAATTGGTTTTGCTTAGGTTTTAGAAATGCTAACAACAAGTTCGAGGATACTTTCACTATATAGTATACTCGTATTTTATGAGTAAAGCAATCAACAAGTTCAAGGATTCTTTCACTATACATATATATAGGTATAAGTCATCACTATATTTCATTGCCTTTAAAACGATAACGACAGCCACTATTACTCTAGGATATGTTTAGTAATCATTAACGTACATCTTGAAATAGTCAACAAGGGTTAAACAAATAGCTTTTATTTACCAGTACGGCTAATAGGCATAACTAACTGATATGGATTGGACAATTAATCATTAATATGTACGTTCATTCAAGCACTTAAGAGAGCTATGTATGTCATTGGCTCAGTTTGTAGATTCACACGTGCACTTACAGCGCGCCTTAAAGAGCCAATACACTACCACAGATGGGGCCCGACAGAGCCGAGGTTGTGGTATGGTAATGTGGCTCGGCCTGAAGCTGGAGAAGGAATGGAGTATTTTTATGTCAGTAAGAGTCTAACACTCCCTCTCGCCATACGAGAGAAGGAGAAGAGAGAAGTCATTTTTTTGTTTTTCCTCCTAAGAAAAGGTCTATTTCGCTACTCAAGAGTGATGCTATTATTCTACTGAGCCATCACTAAACTATACAATGATAGTGATAGGATCACTCAGTTGATAAAGGCTCATTTATTTGATAATTTAATTCAAATAATATACACGTTACAAAATTATTTCGCCACGATTTCGTCAAACAACGCCGTTCACAATGTGACTCCAAGTTATCTATCTATAAAAAATAAGTTTATCGTGTTTTTCATTAATCATTAATTAGACCGATGTTTTAAATTAGTGAGAACATAAAAAAGTTCCTCTAATTAAAATGTTATCTTTGTGAGACAAATGAATTCGTTGGTGGTGGCCTACATCTTAGTAGATAATTTATTATATTGAAAAAGTGATAAAGGGCTTATGAGATTTTACTTATAGTATACATATATATTTTTAAGCACAAGACAGATTTATAGTTGTAGTTTTGTGATACCACTATTTATAAGCCATTATACCACCAATAGAATTTTATTTTAAGTATTTTTGATTTCTGGTTTTACCTATTTGTTAAATTATAGTATCTTTTATTTATAGACTAGCTACTGACAGCGGCTTTACCCGCGGTAACCTAGTGCCTATTTCCGTCAAAATCCATCCAATATTTTTACGTTAAAGAGTTACGAACACCTATCCATACCTATAAACTTTTGCTATTTATAATATAAGTAGGACGACAAAAATACAACGACATATGCAAAATTGTATATATGTATATATATATATATATATATTCCAAATACAAGACCTTTTGCTGAAACATACGTACCGAACTATGAATCGTCGTACATGTTCGTCCGGTCTTACATACATAAATATTATTATTATAGATGTATAGAATCATGGCATCCAGCCAAAATCGCGCTAAACATCTTAATTCACACTTATACTATTGTAAACTTGGCCCACATTAAGGAAAGTGGAAAGACTTGTACATTAACGATAACATTTGCAAACAAAACGAAGAGACAAAGGGAAAGCTATTGTTTTAAATAAAATAAATTATTCTTGACTAAATTGTTT